TCTCTGTCAAATAAATAAAATATTTAAAAAAAAAAAAAGGTGGCTCATGGTCTCAGCATTATGGAGTCCATTCCAGCCACTCAGATGGTAGACATAACAAATATTCTTCAAAATTAACAGGACACTTGTTCTGTAATTAGCTTTTGGATTGCAAAGTCATATAAAAGGGAATCTGCCGACAACTGAGCACCACCTCAGTATTTTTTGGCACTAATTAAATTACACATTTTGCTTGATTATTTCAAATGGTTTCCTTCTTTTCAGGAGACATTGTTTCATCATACTGCTTAGCCATAACTGATTGCTTGGATCGAGCACCAATACACTGCATTCATTTTCACAGTTGATGTGGAGTGTGAAAGGTAAGAAAGCCTTTGTGTGTAATTTTAAACATCCAACACACAGGTAAAGAGTCTGCACTGTGGTGTGATATCTGTTGTTGGATGTAAAAAGGGTCTCAACTACAGAGCCATCTGAAAGAAAGCTTCTTTCCCAAAGAAAATATTTCACAAGAAAAAATGCTTATCTCCAACTTACCGGGCTAACAGAAAAACAAGCATTTAAATACGGAAGCCAGCAAGCAATTGGAAATACTTAGATATACATGAAATTTTGATCCTCTTACATGATGTAATCCTTAATTCAATTCTTAATTGTGTTTAGTAGGTATTGTCTTTCTGGGCTATGATCTCTAATAAAATAGGCTTGTCTCTTCCTTTGAGGCCAAATGCACAATATTATGTGGATGGTAGTACAAAACCAAAGACATTTTCTTTTTAAAAAATAAGCAAATATACTTATCAAAGTTTTAGCCTTAGATACCCTGAACTACTGAGTTCATATTTTCACCTCCAAATAATGAAGAATACCATTTCTGCAAAGTAAAAAGTAATGAAAGACCTTGGGTAGTTTTATTCAAACAACATATTTTTGCCAAAAATTTTGTCCTCATATACTTCCTGCAGCTATAAAGGGAGCATCAAAAAAATGAGCATATCTTTCTTTGCAATTACCAAAGGGCTGCATTTTCAATTCGTGTGCATATGTGTATGTGCGTGTGTTTCAAAGTCATGCTCATGTGCTCTATAGCTTCCCAAAGTCAAGGAAGAAAAACATTCACAGAAATCACAGAAAATCAGAGAGAAGGAAAAAGTTCCAGATCTTTTCCAGTTGAGGAATTGGCTTTATATTGTTAAATAATATGGCCAAAGTTAGCAGCAGATTCACTCAAACATTATGATCCTGAGTGGCCCACTTGTATGTTTTCCATCACATCATTCTCTCCTTACAGACAGCTTCTTTAAAATAAAGTTTGTTTTGGGGAATGTGGGTGGCTCAGTCGTTAAGTGTCTGCCTTCAGCTCAGGTCATGACCCCAGGGTCCTGGGATCAAGCCTGACATCTGGGCTCCCTGCCTGGAGGGAAGCCTGCTTCTCCCTCTCCCACTCCCCTGCTTGTGTTCCCTCTCTCTCGAGTTCTCTCTCTCTGTCAAATAAATAAAATAAAATCTTTAAAATAAAGTTTAATGTTCATTAAATTAATACCATCATAATGTTTAAAACACAGAGTCAAATAATAATGGAAAACAACATTTCTCTTGCCTCACCCCCTCCTCACCCCCAGTATTGCTTTCCAGGGACTCCATATATGACCATTTCTGGTTTTGTCCTCCTGGTGTTATACCTCTCCCCTACCCCTCTCAACAGAACACTCATACTGACAGTTTTTACTTAACTACTTTAAACATTGTCTCTTACACCTTGGGCTGTGATGGATGAGAATTTAATGCATTTATACCACTTCCCACTTTCTCTCTCCTCAATCATGCAAAATATTTAAAACATTCTTCTCCATTGGTTATCTTTGTAATTTCAAACAGTTTTTAAACCTTCTTTCCTTATCCCATAGCAGTAGCTCTTCATTCTCAGCTTTTAAAATAATGGCATTAACCTTCCTACACTCTCCATCCTCAGTAACTTCCTAAGAATGTGAGGCATCAAAATTTCTATGTCTCTGCATGTGTGAAAAGATGTTTATTGTTCTCTCACACTTAATTGATAGTTTGATTGGATATGTGTAATTCTAGGGTGGGGAGAAATGAAGCAAAGGAACTCTTGTTTAGCTCCATTTTCCTGAATTTTGCTTATCAGAAGCCTATTACCAGTTTGATATTTTTTTTTATAGTTTTCTTTTTTTTTTTTAAGATTTTATTTATTTATTTGACAGAGAGAGACACAGTGAGAGAGGGAACACAAGCAAGGGGGAGCAGGAGAGGGAGAAGCAGGCTCTCCACAGAGCAAGGAGCCCGATGTGGGACTTGATCCCAGGACCCTGGGACCATGACCTGAGCCGAAGGCAGACGCCTAACGACTGAGCCACCCAGGTGCCCTGATAATATTTCTTTACAGATGATCTCATGGTTCTCTCTGGAAGCTTTTAGGATCTTCTCCTCCTCACTGTTTATAAAGTTTTAAAATCATGGGCTTGGGATTAGGTCTTTCTACATTAATTGTGCCAAATACTCAATATATCCTTTTACTCTGAAGACATGAATGCTTCTGCTCAAGGAAAATCTCTTGCATTATTCCTTTGATAATTTTTTTGTTCACAAATTACTCCATTCTCTCTTTTGGTAACTTTTATTAATCAGATCATTAAACATATTAGATTGATTTTCTATGCCTCTGACCTATATTTTATGCTTCCCTTTCTCATTCTATGTCCCAGGGCACTGACATGTATTTAAATCCTAACACTTCTGTTGAATTTGGTATATCAATGTCATATTTTTATTCTCCAAGAAATCTCTCATTCTCTGATCATTTCTTTGCCTAATGTCTCATACCTCTTTTTTTGTTTGTTTGGTTTGCAATTGCTTTTCAAATTTCTTTGAGTTCTAATTAAAAGTATTATTTTGTGGAGGTTTTATTACTTTTTTTAAGGGGCATTTGGGGGGGGGGTGGATGTTTATTTTCTCTTTGTGACTTTCTCTGTGACCGGCTTTCCTAAAATGATTATCCGTGACCTCATTCTTTAAGGGGCATTTGGGGGGGGGTGGATGTTTATTTTCTCTTTGTGACTTTCTCTGTGACCGGCTTTCCTAAAATGATTATCCGTGACCTCATTCTGAACAATTAAGTTTAAAAACACTGCTTATGAGCACTATATTTATGGGCAGAATTTGATGACTGTCTGGGCCCACTGTAACCCTGGGACCCCCCCAAATGCCATGGCTTTTTCTGGTGTTCCAATGTTCACCTTAGACACCCTTATTCTCATCAGATAGCTCATTTAATTTCTTTTGAGAAGAAATTTCCAATCTTCTGCCTGGGAAAAACATCTATCTACCAGGCATTCCATGCAATGCATGGACATGGTGCTGGTGATGGAGTTCAAATGCTCTGTAGACAGACTTTAATTAACACCTCTGCTTTCTGGTGTACTTCCCTTCACACCTAGTATTTCAGAGTCTTGAGTTTCTTTGGGGAACCCTCTCTGGGCCAGTTCTCTCTTCTGTTACAATCCCTCAGCTGCTTTTTTTTTCCTCCCAGAATTTTTTTTTTGCCATGTCTCCTCTGAGAATTTCCTTCTCATATGGGGATTTGAGGGGGGCGAGACAGGTTGGAGAGGAAAAACTCACGTGATCAATCCATATTTTTGAACCAAAAGCTATCTGATGTACATCCTAATCCTAGGTGTCTCCCCTCAAAATGTCCCCCCCTTAAAGAGTAGGCACCATGGACTATATAACCGTTAATGAGTGTAGGATGCAGCCATTTAGGGTGTGCTCCTTGAACGCATATAAACATTTCCATAAAAAGACTAATCTACCCACTAATCCCAATCAACCACCCACTGCAAAGTGATAGAAATAAAATGACAGGTATTTAATGCCACTAAAATGGCTTAATCCCACAGTGTCTTGTTGGATAATGCTCTGCTCAAAGTAATTCTGATTGTGCCTGTTGTTATTATGCTGTTAATATTACTAAATTTAATATCAATACCCACAGAGAGACAATGGTTACTTTTCATGGAAACTCCATGGTTCCAATTTGTTCCAATTGGATATTAAATAACTCACAAAAATAATTCATAACAAAGGGCAGGAAGAAATAATTTATGTATCATAAATTGGATATGTTATGATGAAAGCTAAAAACAACTAAGTACGTTTAACATTTATGAAAGAAAGCTGTGTCCTGAAATTCAACTAGTTTGACTAAATTCAGTTAAAACAACAACAAAAAACACAGGTGGAGATGAGGGGATGGGAATGAAATTGTGCAAATTTCTAGGTGTCTGTCTCCAAATAAACAGATTTGACTGAAGTATCTCTTTTCAAGCAGTTGTTTATCTAAAAATAATCTTCCCTTTAAGAAGACCTCCATATATAGTTGTTCTGTAGGAAGCCCTGGGGCAAAGAGAAGACCTTTACTTAAGTGAAAAGCTAGCCTGAGAATTGCCTCTAGGCAAAAGTCATTATACACTTCTCTTCCATCCTTTAGATAAGCCAAAAGCAAAGCTTCCCACTGATACAAATCAGCTCACAACTTGGCTCTCATTAGCTCTAAACCTATGGAAATCTTTAGAAGCTTGGTTCACCCCACCAAACTCATTAGGTGTTTAAAATTAGGCATTCTTTTCATAAGGAGCAACAGGAATTCCTGCAGCACAGGTATATATATATAATGTCCCCCCAGGCTTTGTTAGGTTAACAAAGTGCCCTGAAAGTGCTCACTAGGCCTCCTTGGCTGTACTTGTTAGTTCAGATTTCACACTTAGCACTAAAATAGAGCAGTGATTGGTATACACAAATCCATTTAGATTCTAGGGACTGGATATCTTATCTTTTTTCATATACTTTTAATCCTAAATGTATCCATTTGTTTACTTCCTATTTCTGAGAGTGTTTGGGGTGGGGCCACATTCAGTCACTAGTGTCAAGTATTCTAAAATCATGTAGAAAAATATTCCTGCAAGGGATAAAGGATTCAGGAATATACCTCCAATTGAATTCTGCTTTATAACAAGGCCTATACTTTTCAACTTCCATGAGACTAGAAAGTGAAATTGCCTGTGTTCTTTTGATGTAATTATAGCCATTAGGTGTCCAGAGTCTTTTTATTTATGTCAAATTAAGGCAGATATCCAAAGCACTGAGCTTGCCGAAATGGTTTTGCCTAATGTGTTCCATATGACTTGTAAGATTCTGGGAAGCAATGGGGGCAACTGGGGAGGCCAGATGTGTATACGTGCAGTAAAAAGATGTCTTAAAGAAAAACCCTAGCTGGCAGACCCACAGCTCTGGATCATGGGTCAGCCAGTGTCTGCAACCTTGATAACTCCCAGTTGCTTTGCTC